CAGACAGCAAAAGTCCAAATCACTCGGGCCCAGAGAGTGAAAAGAGTAACTGCACCCCTCCACCTGCCAGGGGCCTTGCCTTGAAAGTGAAGGCACAACCCAGCTGGAACTCCACACCCTGAGACAGGAGTGGGGTGAGGGGGCCTCTAGGCTGTGGAAACCAATCTGCCAGCATGCGCTTGCCTCTCCAGCCACTCAACTCTTGACTCTCTTCATTGAGAAGCCATACTCAACCTGGTCTTGACACATGGATTCATTTATACCATAGTTACTTGGCTGTAGGCCTCTTTCTTTCTTTCTTTCTTTCTTTCTTCCTTCCTTCCTTCCTTCCTTCCCCCCTCCCTTCCTTCTTTCCTTCCTTTCTTTTCCTTCTCGTCTTTCTAGAATTTTCCAAAAGCTGGAATAGATTTCCATTTGGCTTTGGGTGTGGGCCCACCTTAAACAGAACTTGGCTTCTGTTTGGGCCTTTGGTCTCAGTGAGGGTCTCAGCTTTCATTCCTCAGCGAGTCCTGATGGAAGTGATTTCACAGCCTTTCATGAGGCCTCAGTTTCTCCACCTGTAGTTCCTTGGTTGAGGTCCTGGGGCCTTTATTTGTTTGTAACCTGTGAAAGAGACCGAGAGGGAGCCGGGTGCCTTAGCTAAGCCTGTTTGCACCAAGCTTTTGTCTTTCTTTGTAGGAGCCAGACTGGTTAATGAATTTTTTTTTTTGGTGAGGCTGGTGTTTTAATTCCCCCCACACAAGAGGGATTAAAAAGAGGGGGTATCCAAACCCAAAGAGGGCATACGAGGCGTTCACCCTCCTCCCCCTCCCTAAGAGCTGGTTGGATTTTGTCCCCCATCTCCCATCCCTTCAATCAAGTCCCTCAAACTCTTTTAGCCACAGCTGCTGACTGCATTCCCGACACCCTCCGTGTAGGATGGTCACTTCTCTTCAGCCTGCAAATGAGAAGTGACATTTCAGCCAACCCATAAGCAGAGCGTGGGGACACAGGCCCATTGACAGAGCGTGGCCCAGGGGCCCGGGCGGCTCCACAGCATCCGAAGCTGCCTTAATTAATACCATCTTAAATAGTTCAGCAGCCGCGGAAGACAAAGTTGAAGGAAGACTTTAAGGCTCAGTGCCCTTCGACAAGCTCCTTCCTCGTGTCATTCAATATTTAATGCGCCCGCTTGTAATGCAACTACTGGTGTTCCTTTCTAAGCAAGGACATTATTTTTTCACGGTGCCCATAGCCAGGGAAAGCCCTTTAGGCAAAGAAAATCAAAATGTTTGTTGTTTTGGATGACTCATAACTCTTGTTTAACACAAGCACTTTCAGGCCAGTATAACAGGCGCAGCCTCCAAAGCAAACAGCACAATCCTCGTGACAGAGTTGGACACAAAAAGCGCATTGTCTTGAGTACTACCCCTTTCTCTGGTGCTAGATGGGGGCCTGTCTCCCGGTGAACACCACGATGCCATTTCACTTTTGAACTATTGTTTTTGAGTTATGCCATGCGGTCAAAAGGAGGGAGAAGGGGGTTGTTTCCAGGCTCCTAAGACAAACGAGTTGCCTTTTCAATGAAATCCCCCCGCGATCCTTGAAAACGGAGTTTAAATGTCACCTCCGCCTTTCTAATGGGCACAGGGCTGGAGGCGACCCTTCAAAGCGCCTGAGTGATAAACGACCCTTATTAAAATATGGCCCGGACTGCTGGGAAAATACGACGCTGGGCCTGTGTGCCCAAGAGCGCCCCTCGCTGGAGGGCCGGGGAGCCGCAGGAGTCTGGATCACCTAGGGACAGAAGCCCCAGGACCTGCTCAGGGTGAGGGACAACAGGGAGTTACAGTAGGAGCTCGGGTGAGGGGGCCTGGTTGTAATACAACTTCTTATCTGCCGCCTCAACACGCCCCGTGTGAGCCCCATCCCCAGAGCCTCGGCCTTTAAGGTTGGTGCGTTTCCCCTCTGACTTCTTTTTGTCGGTGGCCCAGTGGCGTCTGCAAGTCTGAGCTGCAAAGTTACTGATTTGCAGGCCGCATGTTAAGGCAGCCCATGTAAGTAATTTCTCCGGGCACCCCAGCAAAGGAGAACAAATCGCTGACAAAGGCGAGCGCTTTCGATTCAGCGGCGTCGTTAAGGCAACCCTGAAGTATCCCTCTTATAATAAGTTCACTTCAAAGCGTTTCTCATTGAGCGGTGACTGCTTCGCACTTTTATTAAGTCCGGGCTTTTTCACTCCGAGGAATCATCTGTTTGGTTATTTTTCATCGTGTTTATTTTTCACTATTCACACAGTACTTGTATTAAATAAACAAAGAACAATCGCTCTGCAAATAAAAGTGCTTAGGTGGGGAGAGAAGGAAGAGGTAGTGGGGACCAGGGGGCCCCTGTCTCTCTCTCCCCCTACCCTGTGACATCACTCCCCCACCCCCACCGCGGCTTTCCCTCCTCTCTCCATTCTTTCTCCTCTCTTTCAAGCTAGGAGGTTCTATAGGGGAATCATCACCAACAACGAAAAGCTAATATGTATGATATGCAAAATATATATATATATATCATACATTTATAATCTCTGCGTCTGTGTTTCTGATGAGGTGAGAATTGACTGAACTAACTGGCCATGAAAGTAAGGGTCACTGCAACTGTATCTTAATAGAGTGTCTCAAATTGCTGTGGACAGCCTGCCAGCGACTCTCCTGGCCCTGCCCATTGCCATAGCAATTCTTGAGTCTCTGTGTGGATGTACCACAAAAAACACTAGTTTGAATTTCAAAGAACATGCCTTTGAACTTCTCCCCGCCTGATTAGGCACTTAGGTGGTGTGTGAATGTGTGCTCTGGGATGTTCCTGCGTGGGCGTGAGGTCTCCAAGAGGTTTTGTTCACAGGGAGGGGGAGTGTGCTGGCCATCCCAGGGTGGTTTCTCTGTGGTTCTCCTCCATCCTTTTCCAGACCTGGAAGGTTCCTGAGGTCTCGGGTGGTGTCTGGGTAAAAACCACTGGCAGATGGATGGATTCTGAAGTCTGTGGGTTGTTTTTGTCTGCCTAGCGATGGGTTTCCTTTTCTCTGATTTAAGGTGACCACTTGGGAGATGCGACTGTCTCTCCTGCCACTCCCCTGAGGTTGTAGTTCCTAACCACACTGGGACCTCAGCATTGTGGTGGCCAGGATCCCTCAAGTCCCAGCACAGATGGAGATGACTCAGAAAAGCACAGGTCTCCAAAAAGATCCCACAAAAATGAAACATACCAATTACGAGACTGTAATCTAAATATTCAGTGGGCAGACAGTTAGGCCCAGCTTGCAAGGCTTTCAGGCCCCAGGGCCAGGGCACTTGTGTGACCACCTCCAACTCAAGAGACTATAATTCCCACCCTATAGCTCTCTCTAAGCACCTTGGACGTTCCTTTAACTAAAGAACATTTGAATAAGAGAAATATACAAACGAAGAACCGTGTGTTTGAAGAGCCTCCTGGCCTGGAAAACAAAGGTGGCCCGATTTAATGTTTGCAGAGGGAAGATGAAGTCTTTGATGATAGCCAACTCAGTGTCAATAAGTGGCTTTCTTTGGGACATATTCAGATGGGAACGTCTTGCTTGCCAATTGCCATAGAAATCTTAACACACCATGAAGATTGTGCAAGCGCCAAGCCTTCCGTTCTGGACTAAATTACTTTGAAGTGGCTCAGGACGAGCAGTGGTCAATTTTAACTCTATAGGCTGGACAGAAGATGCTGGGACTGGGAGAGTGTGCATTTTAAAGCAGAAAATAAGAAGGGGAAACTTGTTTTATACACTCTATACAAGGCTCTGCTCACTGTCAGATACCTTTTATCTTTTTATATTTCCCATGAATGATTCATGTCTTGGTGGCTCTGTGTCACCCTTCTTTTCACAAGAAACTTCATTAGAGGAGCTGTAAGTACCCCCATTGATTGCAGCCCTCATTCACCAGTGTTTTTCTCCCTCGCGTGCTGGTTATTGTCACCGGGCTTAAAACAGCTCTTGGCAACCTGTTTCACCTTTACCACATTTAACAGACCTGACTTTGAAAAGCCACTATAACCTTTTTTTTTTTTTTTTGGTGAAATGCTTATTGATGTGACTACCAATTGTTTTTTAAATACTTGCCCTTTTATCTGTTTTGTAGTGGTGAACTCAAAAACAAACAGTCAGGCTTGCTAACATACATTGCCAAATATATCAATTTGAGCCACTGGAATATTTTTTTGTTGCCATGAAAGAATTACTTAATGCCTGCCCCAGAATGCTGAACTTAAGTTGTACCCTCCAAAATAAACTAATTGTAACTTGATCTTCCCCCAACCTTTAACCCCATGGCCTGCTATGAGCTGATTTGGTACCCACTAGTTAATTTCATTCCATAATTATAAATCACTCCTGAGCAGTTTTTGCTGTCACCTACCTTATATCTGAAAGCTCCTTACTGTTCTCTTTTTTTTTATTGTCAAAATTATCTTGCCTTTTTTTCCCCCCTTCAGGGTGGAGGCTATGCACCAAGAAGTGCTCAACTTCATTTCCTTCAGTGATCAGAGCCATTAAGCTCATTACTAATTTTAACAAGGAGTTGGTACTGAGATTTGTGCAACTGTACTTGTAACCTGTAGTGATTTGTTTTCCTGAATTCCGTGGGATGTCTAGATCGTGGTTCTCGACCTCTTTGGGGTTAAATAACCCTTTCACAGGGGTGGCCAAGACCAATGGAAAACACAGATGTTTATATTGCGACTCATTACGGTAGCAAAACTATAGTTATTAAGTAGCAATGAAAATAATAATTTATGGTTGGGGGAAGTCCCCACAACATGAAGAACTGTATTTAAGGGGTCTCAGCATTAGGAAAGTTGAGAACCACTGTTCTAGACTAAAACTGTAAGTAATCCAAGCTCCCCCCACCCACCCCCATTCAGGAGCTGATAAGAGATCAGGGAAGGGCAATCTAATGTTCACTGCCATAGCAACTGTTCTGCTTTAAATGAACGACAGATATGCCACTGGGTAAAATGTAGCAGTACATAGGAAGAGTACCTTTATTACATTTGTCATTCCATTGTCATTCTTGCTTTCTTTCTAATGGAGGTACACACTTTTTAAGGTTTTTATTTTTGGTGCATCAGGAACCAGTAAACCTGTGGCAGTTAAACCTATGCACGGCAAAATACATAAAATACATATTCCTTTGTCTCATAATAAATAAACCTGTAGCATGATAAAGAATAGTGCAAACTACCATTGGGGGAAAAAAGTTGTATAAATAAAACAACTCACATATCAGGAATATTTTTTGCCCTAACAAATTTACAGTACATAAGTTATCCCACCCAAGTTCATACCTTATCATTTCTGTTTGAAAGGACTTTGAAAGTGAATAACAGGGGGAGAAAAAAAATCAAATAAACTTTTAAAATGTAGAATTATTTTATATTCAAGTTGTGGGTCTTTCTTTATAAAGGAGGGTCTGCATGTGTCATATTTACTGTAACAATCTGAAGACAACATTGAAAGGTGTCCACGTAAAAGCACCATGCATTGTACTAGTAATATATCTATAAACTATAATCTCATCAACACGAGGCAAAAAAACATGCAGGAAGAGATTTGGGTTTTCACATTACCTTGTCCATTCAAGTAAGCTTAAAAATATATTTTATATTTTACCCCTTTCCATTTCTTTTTTCTTAAATAAACCATGGATCATAAATGACAATCTTTCACCAAAATGTATAATATATTTCTTTGGTGTGCTTTGAACTCTTCCAGAAACAGAAAAGGCTCTCTAAAAATAAATTAAATAAAAAAACTGTACAGATAAAGTATTCACAAACACTTATTAGCAATGACAAGACTACATTAACCACTCACAGCACACAAAACAAGATTTCCACAAATCCTGGGGAGAGGGGTGTCTTCAAGATCTCTGAGGATAAATTAGTGCTCTTTAGTATGTGTGTGTGATGTTTTCTGCTGGGCTACAGTTTGCACGGGAGATGTGTTGTACCAACTGAACGTAAACTGACCAAGAGTTATTGTCCTAGGTTCTTGACCCTTTGTATCCTGGCTTGACAGCTCTGGCAAAGGTCACACATTCATCAGTGTTTGGTGGTAACTATAAACCTCTTTAAAAATTTAATATGTATAGCAACTCCTCCTCCTGTAATGTAGTTCATATACTTCACACTGTCATTTTCAAATGGAAGAGGGTTCAGTGCTCATGGAGCAAGTGAAAGAAATGCATTTTTTAAAAAAAAAGTTGATACAGTAGTATTAAAAGGAGAGTTAGATGAGAGTTGGCCTGTTAACAACGACAACAACAAAAATAAAAAGCTTTAAAAGATAGGCAGGGTGTCACCACCACACCCCCCTCAGCCTCTACTGTGCTTGCTGGCACCCCCAAAAAAACCCAACTCTTGGCTCCTCATTACCCAACAAGTTAGGATGCAGCCAAGAGGCGGCACCTGAAATACCCAATTTAAAAACAAAAACAACAACGACAGGACAGCCCAGCAGAGGAAAAAGAAAGCACTTGGAATTGCTTCTAGTTTACAAAAGATCACAGTTTCCAGTTGTCTCAGCAGCTCTTCTTCTGTTTCTGCTTGAACAATCACAGTAGCATGATATGGGGAGATGTATCAGGGTGGCTGCACTTGGCTTGGTGTTTTGTTTCATTTCTGTCTTTTTCTTTTCTTTTTTTCTTTTTTTTAAATCACACAAGGAAAGATACTGAAGGAACAATCCTGTATAAAAATATCATGTTGCGGTGAGATTGGTAATAAAAGCATAGGAATTGAAACGATAAATATTAGAAATCAGAAAGGTCTTTTTTTTGTTGTTGTTCTGTTTCTCATACAAAAGATTTTTGGATACAGGCACAGTCCAGGATCTGTTGTCCATGCAGCAAGTGTTGTGTTTTACAATCAAGAGGCCTTTTGCAGAATTAGGTCTCAAAAAAAAAAAAAAAAGCAGCTCTCGTTATGGTGTCAAAGGCATCTGAGAGGCACTAGGGGACATGGAGAGGGCCTGGTTGATGTGTTAAGGTCTGACTTAATGCTGCTTTTTTCCCTCCCATTTAATAGATATACTCATATATACAGACACATGCGCACACAGAAGTGTACGCACGCGCGCACTCACACACACACACCCACACACGCATGCACGCACACAGTATTGGCAGTGTATATCTTAATTTTTCCACTAGTTTTCCTCAATAGACTGACTCTGCCTCCAGGCCTGTCCCACTGCAATGGACAAGTCTAGCTTGGTTGCTTTTTATTTGCTTGCCATAAATTTTTTTCCTCTCAGCACTAAAGGTTGAACCCAGGGCCTCATGCGTGTTAGGCAAGGGCTCTACCACTGAGCTGCATCTCCAGTCTTGTTTTGTTTTTCTGGTTTTTGTTTTTTTGTTTTTTGGAGAAAGAGGAAAAAAAACCCAAATATCTTAATTAAATTAATTAAATGTACAAACACCATAGGGTTTCCATACTGAATAAATAGGGCTAATTAGACCGGGCGGCAAAGTCTGAGTCACCAATTTGTCTCAGGCTCAGCATCGTCTCAGGCTAGGATGTGGTCCAGGGGACCCTCACTCACTATCTCACTTATTAATAATCATTCTAATGTATCGTCCGTACAACTTCGGGGTTCCCGTACATTTCCTCGTCTTCAGACTCGGAGGTGGTTCCATTGCTGGAAGGTGTGTGGAGGTGGCTGGGGGCCCCACTGGCCTGGCACACGTACCACTCACTGAGGTTGGTCACCTGAGGGGACAGAGTGCTGGATCGACTCCTGGTTGGGTCCAGCACAGGGGACAAAGTGTCACCCACCGGAGTCCCCACCGATGAGTAGCCAAGGGCTCCTGGAGAAGGTGGGGGGGACTTGCAGTGAATCTTCATGTGTTTCCTCAGAGAGCTTGGGTGAGTGTAGGATTTGTCACAGCCTCGAATCTTACAGTAGTAGGGCTTGTCGCTGGTATGGACGTGGGAGTGTTTCTTTCGGTCGCTGCTGTTGGCGAACTTCCGGTCACAGCCATCAAATTCACATTTGAAAGGCTTTTCCCCTGTAACAAAACACAGGGAAGGTTAACAATGGCTTTCCAGAGATCTCTCATTTGAAGAAATCTTAGAATAGAATTAGGGGTGCATTCTGGTCCCCCATCTCCTGAAGAGCAAACCCCAGCTTTATTCCCAACTGCAGTATTCCAGGCATGCAAGGGAAGAGGCACTGCAAGTATTGGCCTGTGCCCACTGGCCTGGAGGCTTTGCTTGGACTTGGGTTGTAAGGGACCAGATGTTAGCTCCTGCAGCACCAGATTGGTGGGAGCAAAATCTGAAGTCAAGGACACCAAGGGCCTCCATGATACCCCCTCACCACACACACACATAAAACTCCCTTAGGATCTGAACACAGAAGAGTGCAAGTGGCAGCTTCCCCTGTTAAGATAAACCCCCGGTGAAACCATATTTCCAAAACAATGGGTATAGAATCAAAGAACAAGTAAAAACAAACGTGGTACACACTAATTCACAGTAGGCTGGGGGCACACAGTGAGTTGTCAGCAGCATGCTATCGAGATTCTCCCTAGATTTCACTGGTGGGAAAAGGAAGGGGAAAAACTGAACACCGCCTCTCTTCAGAAAGAAGAGACACCTGTGAAACACTCGATCTTGTCCTTAGATTTCACAAAGCTGCCTGGGCAGAGGTCAGGCCACTGGCTTCTGCCTCCCCAGGACTAACCCCCTGCAACTCCAACCTGTGAAAGGAGCAGACACTAGAAAACACACAGCCTCAGTAGAACCTGCCCTATCCATCCTGACAGCTTTCTTCACTCCTTAATAATCAAAACCATGTTTCTAAAAGCAAAGCCCTTTGGCCTATCACCTCTTTTAACTTATCCGTCAGCCCCGAGAACACAACTCCTTAAACACAAGGCCACATCTCCAGGAAGTGAGACTGCTTAGTAAGCTGTGACTAGAGAAATTTAGCAGAATCACTTTGGCGTTTATAAACAAGACAACAGGTTAGACCACAACTAACTGTGTTTCTCTCTGACCTCAGTTTATCTATGAGCTTGATGCATTCAGGCCCAAACTAAATAAGTCATCCCATAAAATACTAATTTTTTCCATTGAGGATTAAAACAACAACATCAACAAGCCAGCAGTTGCTCTGACACAGGGCAATGTTCTTTGTTCTGGATATATTTAAAAAGGCATAACAGTGGGTAAATCTCTGTGGTTAATTATCTTTTTGTCCACACAAATATTTCAATGGGGTCTTTTTTTCCTTTCATATTTTGTCAATGGTAACTGCTCCAATGCCAGAGTATAAGACAGCTGAGAGTATTTAGATACCCTATAACTTTCCATAATTGGAAATAGTAATTAAAAAGTGAAATTAGTTATTCTAGAAATGTGCCTACAATATTAACCCACCATTGGAAGGAACACACAGCTCACAATGACAATCACAGGCTTTAAAAATTCTCTATAGATGGGGTGGAACACAAAGTTAATCCCTTCCTATGAGAACACGGATTTGTCAGGATTTCTGTATTACCCTGCAAGTTCAAGATAAGCCCCATTCAACACAGCATCCCTTAAAAATGTGTTACACATTTATATACATGTGCTATATATAGGCATGCATATAATCAGACCTTCAGTATGGAGGCAGAAGTGGTTTTATGCATTCTAAGCAAATGTGCTACATCTTAAAACTCTCATTTTCCTGAGCAGCCTACATATCTTGGGTTGGGAAAAGTGTTTTGGATACTGCTGTTTCCTCCACGACGCTGGGAGAAGGAGTAGCAGGACTCAGTGAAGGAGAGGAAGAAAAAGAAGGTAGACATAATTGAACAGCCCATGTTGTTTAGGGACCTAGGAAGGCCTAACCAGAAGGGCTGGGCGACCCCAGTGTTTCCGTTACAGACACTGACAGAGGGGTCACGTCAAAACTGAACTATGCAGAGTTTTTTGGAGACTCGCTGCTTGTAGCAAAGAGCTGTGTGGCTATTGCCTAGATCTTGCCTCTAGACACCGGCCAGACACAGGTTATAAATGCAGCCGAGGGCACGTGGGTCAGGAAACAGGCCTTCAGGAGTGGCCTGGGGATTAGTCCTTCGATCCATCTGTTCTGGGATCCCAGATAACCCCACAAGGGAAAGGCAGTGTGGCAGCGAGGAAAGGAAGGAGAGATGGTCTCTGTCTCTTTCGATACAACGCCAAAAGGCTCAGAAAGCCACGGGACAGCCAAACAAACCCCAGCACACTCCCTAGAGCTGAATCCGTGGTGCCAGCATCCCTCTTCAGGGAGGCCCACAAGCTCCACCGGAAGGGTCCATGCAGCCTCTGGGAGTGGAAACAACAAGTGTAACCATCCCTGCTACGTGGAAACAGGGGAACCAGAAATAAAATCCAGCCGCGAGTCGTCCCCCCCCCCCCACCCCACCAACAACAACAACTTGCTGCCACGGATAGGGTCAGAAGGCAGCCTGTCCTGTGGGAACCCAAACGCCACGATGCGAATCTGTCATTCAGTTTCTCCTTGGTTAGCTGCCAGCCACCTCCAGGGTAAGGTCCACTCGCCTCCCGAGACCTGGGAAAGCAGAGAGGTCTCCAGCATTTTGAAGTTCCCTTTAGCCCTGGCTGCGTGGGGGGAAGTGCAGCTGCCTTAGCTGGCCTGGTTGTTTTTTACGAGAACCACGTGGGAAGTTTCCGTTTGGAAAACTCATTAAGGAGAATTGATCCCAGTTACAGAAAGGGAAGGGGGAAGAAAAAAAAAAACAGGCCTCCAGGGAAAACGGACTTCTAGACGGCCCTGTCCTGAGGCTGTGAAAACCAGGATGCTCCCATAAAGACCTTAAGGCCTCCGGCAGGTAGGCCCCACATAAAGGCCCGTGTTTGGGGCTGCCTCTTCGTCCCCCCGATGCGCAGATAAATCAGTCAAGTGATTGTTGAATGTAAACTCAGGTTACCTAAGTGTCCTCGGAGGAGTAATATTGCCTATCATATAAATCTCGACTGCGCCCGCGCTCCACAGCGCTTTAGCCCGGCGTTGACTGTGCATTCTACAGGGCGCGTCCCTCTACTGTCCCACGCCTCAGCCCTTCCACGCGAGAGCCACGACGTGGGGGTACAGTGGGAGGGGGGCAGGATCCCTCACAGAGTTGAGAGTTTTCACCAAAGTTCCACAGAGGGGGGTAAGGCCCTTACCAGACCCAGGAAACCGCTCTCACTGGGACTAGAACCACCTTTAAAAGGACAAAAAGCCAACTTCTCCCAGTTGCCCAACACACTCTAGGTAGGGCCGGTAAGGACGCGTGAGAGTCGGTGCGCGTGAGGGTTACGTAAACGAAGTGTTGAGTGAGGGTGTGTGTGTGTGTGTGTGTGCAAGAGAGGTCGTGGTGTCACGGGAGTGTGTGCAACCAGGTCAGGAGTGTGCGGGATGCGCGCCCGTGAAGCTGTACAAGTCAGTGTGAACGACTGGAGGCCTCCTAAGGTGGGGTGCTTTCCCTTAGGCCTTCCTCAACCGGTCCCGGAGGCACCCGGGCCCCCCTTTTCCCGGGCGAGGACACACTGATCAGCCCCCAAGCCCCAGCGAATCTCACGCGCCCCATCCCACGCCACATCTCCGCAAGGCAGCGATCGCTTGAGGCCTGCGTCCCGTGGGGGGGAAGGAAGGTGCCACCGGGAGACCCCAGCCAGAGGTCCCTTCCCCATGGGCCTTCGGACCTCCCGGGGCCGGGCGCGTGGGGGCTGCCGACCGTCCTGGGCGCCTTCCTGCTGCTGCTGCTGCTCCTCCTCCTCCCGGGCGGCGGCGGAGGTCGGTGGCGGCTGGAGCGCTTTGCCGGTCCCGGCGGAGGGGCTGCGGGCGCGCTGGAGACTCCGCCAAGAGGGAGGCCAGCGCGGGGCCTGTGTGTGCTATCGAATTACTTATTCATAGAAAAAAAAAAGGAGGGGGGAGAGAAAAAAAAAAGAAGTCACATGTCCGGGTTATACGTATGCGGAGAAGCAGCAGAAGGAGGGAAAAATGAAAGCGAGCAGAAGGCGAAGCAGCGGCGAGGAGGCGGCGCAGGCGGCGGCGGCGGCGGCGCGGCTGGGGACAGACACCCACCTGTATGAGTGCGCTTGTGGATCTTGAGGTTCTCGGAGCGCGCGAAGACCTTGCCGCAGCCCGGGAACGGGCAAGGGAAGGGCTTCTCGCCGGTGTGCACGCGGATGTGGTTGATGAGCTTGTACTTGGCCTTGAAGGGCTTGCCCTCGCGCGGACAGTCCTCCCAGAAGCAGACGTGGCTGCTCTGCTCCGGGCCGCCCACGTGCTCCACCGTGACGTGGTTCACCAGCTCGTGCATGGTGCCGAAAGTTTTGGAGCAGGGCTTGGCGCCGCTGGCCGCGGGCGGCGGCCCGGCCAGCTCCTCCGGGTCTAGCCACTTGCAGATGAGCTCCCGCTTGATTGGCTGCCGCATGTAGCGCAGGAAGGCCCCGGCCGCCCCCGGGAGGTGGGGGTGGTGCGGGTGCTGCGCGGGCGCTGGCGGCGGCGCCGGGGGCGGCGCGTGGTGCTGCAGGTGGGGCCCGGGCCCCGCAGCCGCCGCAGCCGCCGCGGCTGCAGCCAGGTTCAGGTTTAAGTTCACGGCTCCGTAGCCGTGCAAGGCGGCGGCCGCGGCGGCCGCCACCGCCCCGTAGTGCGCGTCCCCTGAGCGCGGAGCGAAGGGTGGCTCCGCGCGGCCGTAGAGCTCGGCCGCAGCCGCCGCAGCGGCCGCCAGCCCCAGGCGCATCTGGCCGTTGAGAGGGTGGCCGCCAGGAGCCCCCGGAGAGTCGTGCAGCGCGGGAAAGAGCGCGGGGCCGCCGCCGTCCCGGCCCGCGTAGGTGCCGCTGGCCGAGATGAACATCCCGGCTGGGTGGGGAGGCGGGGTCGGGTGCTGGGGGGGAGCTGCTGCCGGACCTCTGCTCCCCTCCGAGCGGGGCCCCGTGCATGGCCACCGCGGGGGCCGTGGCGGAAAGGTCCCTCCGGAGGACGAAGTCCCTGCTGTGGCCTTTGCCGCTGCTGCCGCCGCCGCCACTGTTGGTGGCGGTGTAGCCCGAGAGGGCAGAAGGAGGAGGCGGGGGAGGGGGGGAGAGGGGGACTGGGAGGGAGGAAGAGGAGGGGCTGGAGGCGGGGGCGCCGGGGCCTGCGCGCCACCGCTGCCCCCGCCGTCGGGGTGGGTGCGGGCGCCCGGGTGCGCCCCTGAGGCCGCGGAGCGGGCGGCGGGCGCGGGAGCCTGGGGCTGTCCCTGGAGCGCCTGAGCGGGAGGGCTGGGGCCGTGCCCACTGGCCTGTGCCATGTGCTCGGGTCCGAGCGCAGTGCTGGCCGCGCCAGGGTCAGTGTCTGGGTCCCGCGGGTGGAGATGCGCGGAGGCGGCACGGAGTTGGGAGTGGGCGGGCGGGCCGGCCAGCACCGGGAAGCCTGTCATATTCTGAAGCTGTTGGCCCTGAGCCGTTGCCAAATCCGCTAATCTCAGCGCTGGCGGGTTCCTCTTGCTGAAAGGGGCCTCCATCATAACTATATAATCAGGCCCATAGACCCTTTCTGGGGGCACTTTTTCCCCCCCTCTGCCCGCCTTCAAAAACATGTATATATTAGGCGCTCTTTAACTTCTTGTGTCCTGGCCTCCTAACTGCTTATTCTTGTCCCCTTTCTATCCTCCAGCGATTGGCAGAGTGAACACCACATTTGAGCTGCACAGTGGGACCGACTTTTTGGAAATGGCACGGGTGGGATTGGAGGGAGCCATGTGATTGGCAGCTGCCTCGGCTGCGCGATTGGCTCCGGTTCAGGCTCTGGGCCCAGCGGGGAACCGCCCCCCGAGCTCGAGACCGCCTGCGCTTTCACTTCGCGCCCCCTCCTCCCCAGGAGCTCTACATGCCAGTCCCTTCCCCCCCTCCCCATCTCTACGGATGCCTAAGTTCCACTTGCAGAAGTTTGTGCTTGGCCTACTCCCTCAGTCCCCAGCGAACGTTCGGTCGACGCTCCTGGAGTGGAGCTCCTGGCCAGGGTGCATCCAATTTCGAGGGGGTCAAGGGACCTCCCGACCTGGGGTAAAGCTACGACGCGGGTGGGGAAGAACCCAAGGATGGTAGTCCCCGAACACTTTCTACCTCCTTTCTTGGATGATCCCCTGGCTTCACTCTGGACCGAGTAACCATCTTGCCATGCATGGTATTTTAGCGATGGGGGAAACTTCTTATATGGACCTCGTCTGCCACTGGGCCCACGTGGGGTATGGCCTGGAGGCGGAATGAGGACGGTTGTTAAACATTATTGGTTGCAAAACAGCTTCATGGAGCTTGGCCAAATACCAAAGTCAAAATAATATATGATAAATCCTTCCCCAAAAGAACAGTCTTACATAGACTCTTTTAGCTCATGGGTTGCCCATTCAAACATGGCTCAAAGGAACGGGCTCAAGATGTAACCTCACTGTTCATGGGTTCTAGACCTGCTCCTTCCAGTTAGATCTCTCTGAGGGGCAGGGAGATGGGACTATGGAGTGGGGGTGGGGGTGTGAAGCTAACTTTTGCCTCTCAGAGTGGCAGAGAAGGCCAAGTGAAGCCTTTAAATAAGAGACGCCCTTTAAACAGAAGGTCTCCTTCCTGCCCAGAACGCATTCCTCATATGTGCCTCAGTTTCTCCAGAAGGACTGCAAGTTGGAATAGACCAAATAAAATATTTTAAAAATCAGTAAGTATCTTGCCTATTTACTTATCAATAGAATGAGCTTCCTCCTTCTTTTACTGAAATGCCATGCTTGAAAAAACAAAAAAGCAAACCCCTAGGATCCCACGCTCTGGGTCTTAGTGAATGCTATCTATCTTTGCCACCAAACCAGTTTTTAAGATATAAGTAGGGTCCCTGCATCATGGTGGGTGCCATGGGAGAGATGTGAGACCCTTTACTCAATCTCCCAAAGTGTCATTTGTTTTTAATTTAAATAAAATATTCTTAATTTTGTGACGTTCTAAAATGCTCAAACTCGAACAAAAATATTTTGATTTCGTCTATAAAATCATCTATAAAGTAGTAATAACAAGTCAAATATGATCCCCCCACCCATATCCAGAGGTGGAGAGTGGGGTGGGTGGGAGATAGAGGGGCATGATAACGTGTTCAAGCTTAATTCCTTTGCAGTTTGAGTAAAGATCAACCCCCCCCAAAAGCAGTCATCAGATAGCACTCAAAAGAATTATTTCAAAAGAGTTGATTTGCTAGCACCATTGACATCGGTGTGAGCCATGCTACAGGAGCCTCCCTGTGAACCTTGGGAATGTCATTTCTCTTACAAAGTTGACAAGCAAACAAAGACAACCATGCCATCATATTCTAAATGCCTTTTTTCTTTTAGCTTAAATGAAGTTTAAATCTAGGGAAAATGCAAAGAGCCTGAGCACGCGCGTGTGCACGCATACACACACACACACACACACAGTGGCAGCAATCAAATCCACATCTGTATTTGGGGAGGGGAATTCTTTGATGACTTGTTTCAGGGACGTAAATATCCTGAGCCAACCATGGAAAGGTTGGTGGAGAATGGTGCCATCTGTGTAGATTGTGTATAAAGGAGGTGTCAAATTGGGAATTATTACCACTGTCTCCGTTTCCTCGAAGGCCATTTCAGATGGTTTTCCTTTAATTTCAACCTCTTGGCAATGGGCGTCCATACTGGCAGTAATGACAGCTCAGAGTGTGCTCCTGCAGGTTATCAAAAAAAAAAAAAAACTAACCCCAAAAAGTGAATAAAGAAAATAAGTACAACCTGGTTTATAATATAGACCTTTGAGCAATTTTATTGTGCAATAAAATGGGTACCCCACCCCCTTCAAAATGGCTTTTCGTCAGAATTATAACTGCTTTGTTTTATTGAATTGCTGAAATTTAATGGTTTAATGGATGGAGGCATGAAGGAAAGGCTGTAAAAATGTGGGTAACGCTACAGCAGACCCGTGTGGAATCTGGAACCCGCCTCCTTGTACAACTCTTGTTAAACACAGCATGGTATGTATCTGTCATCGATTTAATATGTCTTAATTCAAATATAGCTCCCTGATCAATTTCTTTTTATGGGAGACCTAGGAAAAATGAAAGAAAAGGAAAGAAAGAAAAAAGAAAGAGAGGAGAGAAAACACTTTCTCTGGTAATAGCAGAGATTTGGGTGGTGACTGGAAAGGGAATATTTACGAAGTGAGTTTAATGAATATTCAAATTTATGACCAAACTCAGACCCTAAAAAGATAATTGACTCAGGTAAATCGATTTGAGATGCTAATTCTTGAAAGAAAGGACAAGGGAGCAAAATTTCAATCAACACCAATAAGGCGCCAATAAACCTCCTGCCAATTAAACCTGAGAATAGGCCTAGCTTCTTGGTCCTCAGGAAGGCTCGCTGTGGATTTCCGGGATTGCCTTTCTTTATAAAAGGGGCTTTTTATTTTGTAGACGCGCTTTTTGTTATTGTGATGACCCGCCTGACCCCAGGTGCGCTGTTTCTTTTTCAAGCTGTTTGGGAGCCAACCCCTAACCCCCTTAAATCCCGACTTTCTAAGGCCGCAATAACTGTGTCACACTTCCTAAATAAACAATTTCCAGGGTATTGGAGAGAATAATGTGCTGGTCTCCAAAGCAGGGAGTAATAGATGCATTCGTGCTTAGTTCCTTCCTTTTTCCCCGTGGATTGTGACCCTGTTCTGAGGACGGTGTCTTCAGGGCCACTTCCCCAACACTCAAGCCCTGATCTGCACTTTCGGGTGCAGAGGTTCTTGTATGGAGGCAGCGATACAAGCCAGCCTTGGAAATACCGGTGCTGGAGGCAACCGGGGCTTTGGCGGCCGTAAATTTACAGAGCTCACGTTTGCTCCAGTAACCCCAACCTCTTTTCCAGGCCCCCAAACAAAGGCTCGGGGAGGTGGGAAGGCGCAGCCAACCACCAGCTGGCCGGAACCCGACGGCCACGCGGCTGCTGAGCCGCCTAAAGGCCGCAGAACTTGGCGCCTGGGGATGCTGTGGCCGGCTTCCCGCTGTCGGGAGGGAGGGCAGCGTCTCCCAGCTCCAGGTGCCTTCCCGTGCCCCTCTCTCTCAACACAGTCAAGTTTCCTACGATGGGTGTGGGCAATTAATAAACTCTAAGGGAAGTGAATTGGACATTTCCTGGCTTTTGAGCCTTTGTTTGATTGTTTCTCCAGGCGGGCGGGCGAAGAAGGGGGGGGACACTTGGGGGACGGTGGGGTGGACAAGAAAGTAACTGGGGAGACCCGCCGGGATGCCTTTTTTTTTATTGCCCCTGCAATTTGCTTTTACGACTCGCCAGTCCCCGCGTGGTTTCTGAGGGGCGGCCTCCTCGCGGAAGGGCTGGGTGCGGAGCGGATTTGTGCAGTCGAGGGCCTTTTGGGTTCAGCCAGAGGCGGGTTCAAGGGCGAAGCGGCCCACGGAACTCCTGGTGAAGGACGATTGAACCTGGGCTGGGTTGCCAAGGGGTGCTTAAGGCGCGCAGGGTGGGAACTGGCAGCCGGCGAGAGGATGGTGGTGGTGGTGGTACTTCACCCAGAGTTGTCTACAAGCCGGAGCCAGAAAGGCAAGCGAACCAGCAGATCTTCTTCATTCTATCAGGGCAGGAAGAGATGGCGACAAGTGGGTTGAAGGGATTTATTTCCCCCCCAAATCAGGTACTCTAGGCTTCTTAGGCAGCAAGGTCTGAAGTCGATTCTCCTGGCCACGCCCGCTCCGTCTTCTCCCGACAGGAACCAGATTCTCCTCTCTCGGGTTCTCAATGCTAGTCTGGCATGGGGGCTACTGACCTGGGTGCTCAAAATCGTCCGGGTGGCAACTCGCAGCCCCGTGAGCATCTCTTTGAGGACTGTCTCTTTCCGGCGCCCTCCTGAACTCATTCACAATCTTCAGGCTCCACGGACACGTGTGGTGCGAGGAGTACCAAAAAAAAAAAAAAAAGTAATTTATGCTGAGGTTTATTTGGGCACGGTGGAGATGGGAAGACAAAAGTCACAGACTGTTCCTGATACTAAGACCCTGGATTGGGAAGGTGTGGGGGTGTGTCTTGTTGTCTGAATCCTTTGGATAGTGAAGAACTGCCCCCCCATCCTGTATCCACTTGACCTTTGCATTGACAAGCTGTTGGGGGAAAAAACCCAGCTTACTTTTACAGTTCTAAAGATAAATTGTGCGAAATCTGCCTGTAGTTAAGCATTCCCAATTTGGTTCAAAATTATTTTTACAGTCAGAGGTAGAGGCTGTCTGAGAAAGGCCTTCGACCTTTATTTGACCACTAGGTTTGGGGATTTCTTGAGAAACCCACGGTTGTGTCCTAAAAAATGCTCTGAAATTCCAAGTAATAGCCACAAAACGTTTTTTACACGGCCAAGATTTACACAGAAGCCTAATTTTTTTTTTATTATTTTAGGCCTGAGATGGACTTTCCTTGGTTTCTTCCCCCCCTCGAAATCAGATAAAGAAGCAAGCGGAAGTTTCAATGTATTTATTTCAAAATTTGGGTGTTCCCTCATTAAACACCTCTTCAGTATCTACATTTCAATATTTGAAAAAGCTGTTGAAATAAATCAAATAGTGACACATTGATGGTTTTACTTGTGTAAGCAATATTGTTGACATATGGCATTGTTATTTATGAATGACAGCATAAATTGTATTACAAAGTCTACTGCAATAATACTGCACTTTATTGGAAAGCTGCTGGCTGGTCGGTATTCAACCTCCAGGTTTTGCCTGAGAGCCTGAAGGATAACAATCGTTGAAATAATTAAATATGCTCCTGTAAGCTATAGCCTCCTGGGCTTTTTTAAAATTTTTGTTTTGTTTCATTTTTTTGGTCTGTTTGTTTTTGCTTTGTTTTATGCATAAAAAACACCTCTATCAAAAAAAGAGGAGATGAGGCAAGGGCAATTAGTTCCCTTCTTATTCCAAAACCACAATTACTGTCACCCAGTTGGGGTGACTGGGTAGCTGATGGCCTTCTCACCCCTATTCTGAGTAGCACAAAAGTATTTGCATTCTTGTCACTAAACTACTGGTGGGCACATATTTGGTATTGAGATTTTTTTTTAATAAAATGGTCTCAACTATGGAGTTTAACTGCAAATAGAAAATAAATAGAGACATGGTAAAGCCTTGTCTGACTCTACCCTCAAACCCTCCTTCTTAATTCTATTTATGTTACAGCTTTGGCTAGCATTTTCACAGCTTCCTCTTCTTTTATATCACACCTACCTAAAGTCCTGACAAAAGACTTTTGTTCCAAGTGGGTTTTAGAGAGGGCCTTCCCAGAGCATGCATGTGGCCGTTCACAGGTCCAGGGGTCACCCAACTCAAGAGTAGCTGAGAAAGCAGAATCAAAAATGACCTTCAACCTAATAACCTGTTGGTGATCTTGCTGAACTTTTAACTCTGTGATCCAGAGGATGACGGTATTATAACTCTGTAGGAAAAAGAAAGGAATATTATCTATTATTGTTGTTGTTATTTTGGTCTAAGATGTAAAGACAATGCATTCCATACTATTCCTCACACACACCCCCACTTTTATTCCTTTCTTTAAACAACAACAAAACAAAACTGTATCTTATTGGGACCAAGAGTTTGTGCTTGGCTTCTCCTGTCCCGCAAATGTCTACTTGTAGGTGTGAGAACACAGTGGGTGGAAACACAAATGTGTGTATTCTTCTGTGCGTGCACATCAGGCTACAAGGGGTCTTGGTAGACACCATTCAGAGGCCCACACACTGTAAGCAGTTGCTCTATGCTGGGATGCTTATGGGATTTGCTCCCCCCCCATGCCCTATTTTTGCTTTTGTAAACACACCACGAATTTCTGACCAAGCCTTGATTCTGTCCACTTGCTGAAAACAACAACAACAACAACAAACTTGCCCTTGCCAGGAGACCAGGGGCAGATACCCTTCTCAGCCACCATCGGAGTTTTGAAGGAACAGTTTGGAGGAACTTACAAAGAAAGGACAAGCTTGCTACCGGTTTTTTTTTGGGGGGGGGGAGTTGACATCACTGCAGACCAGCCTTAGGAAACCTGTTGAAAAAGTAAATTCACTAATGGTGTCTTCCCTCCCTCCCTCCCTTCCTCCCTGCCTCCCTCTCTGCCTCCCTCCTTCCCTCCCTCCCTCTCTTCCTCTAAGGAACCCATGTCTACTTTTGAGGCAACAATCCAGAAAGCCTTTGCATACACACACACACACACACACACACACACACACACACACACACACCCTTGTTCTTTCCCTCTCGCTCTTCCCTTTCCTTCCCTCAAAAAAAAAAGTCAAGGAGGAAAACGTTTTTTTTTTTTTCGGTTTGCAGAGAAATAAAACACTTCTGAGAGGGGATGGAGACGTGACTTTGAACTTGGCTCGGCTCCTCTGTTTCCTGCAGTGAAAGGAGAACTGGAGCTTGGAAAGAATAGCCAGGAGGGCCCAGCCGGGCGAGTTCTCCGGCGGGAATTAAGGCGTCTGCCCTACGGCTCGGCCCTGGAATCCGGCGCGAGCAAAGCGCCCAGCCGCGCCATCCTGAAACGCGGGCTCAGCAAAGGAGAAATCAAAGCCAAAGGAGAGAATAGGTCAAAAAGGAGAGGGAGGGGTGAGAAAGTGGGAGAGGGGAGGAAAACCTGGAGCTTCGGGAGCCTTGAAAGAAGGAAATAAGGTCTTTGGATAAGTAAGGCTGTTATTCTCACAGTCGATCTTAGGTAAAAAAAGAAAACAAAATAGGAGGGTAATATATTTTTTTCTCGGAGCAAACCGTTATATGCACTTTCTCAATACAAACTGATAAATAAGGTAATCAAATGTGAAAGACTGGACCATTTTTAACTGCTTAGATATTCTCTCTCTCTCTCTCTCTCTCTCTCTCTCTCTCTCTCTCTCTCTCTCTCTCTCTCTCTCTCTCTCTCTCTCTCTCTCTCTCTCTCTCTCTCCATTTCCCCCCTGCAGTCTGGCAGGCCAGTTTGGCATCTGCACTTTGAGAGAAGAGGCAGGGGGGCTATGTGTGTGGAAAGGGAACTATTTCCCCTCTCCAGCTTCCAGGAAAGCTCGTGGTTTCAGACGAGATACCTTCTTCTGGTCGTCCTTCCCCTCCCCCTCGACGGGGAGCAGGGAAGCGAGGAAGCCAGTGGGGGCGAAGGCAGCCTTTACAGAAGGGGCTGCGGCCAGCTCCAACAGTTGACGCAGACCCCCTTAAGGTATGAGACACTGCTTGAGCAGGCAGGAGATGCCAATTCATTGCAACAATCCTGAATAAGAGTGTTCTTCCGACGTTTTTTGGTGATTTCGTTTCCATGTGAAATTTCGAAGTGTGTGCTTATTCTCTTGCCCGAATTTTTATCTCAGTTCCCCGAGATTTATAAATAAAAGCAGTCCTCGGGCCTGCCAGAGGCTGTCCCTACACTTCCCCAGACTCTGGGCCTACGGTTCCCTCTCCCGTTACCACTCGGAGCTCGAGCGAGGGGTTGGGGGCCGTGGGATGTCCTAAAGATCAGCCTGCTTGGGGTCGAAGGCGGCGCTCGGGTGAAACACTGAGGAGTGTCCACCAAAGGATGAGTGACGCTTACCGTAAAGAAGGTTTAAGCCCCACAGTTTATTTTTCCGAGGCCCTGGACCTGATATATCAACAGCCAAATTAAGGCCTAAATCTTGTTTGATTCTGGGCATCCCACTTCCTAGCTCAAGGTGGCCGTGGACCGGGTCAGTGGGCATCCACCCTGAGGGTGACACTGTCTTTTTAAATGACTTCCAAACTACCCCTTGGCTCTGCCTCTCAGGGGGCTGAAGCCTAGGGTTCGCTTCTGTAATCTGAGCTGAAAGCGTGCGTCAGGGGTTGGTGGGGGGGAGCTAAGTGCGCCCTAGGGGAGATAGGGACCGCTGCCTTCTGTAGGAGTGATGTCTAGGTGAGTGTCCAGCGAGTGGAAACAAGGGGTAAGTTTGACTTTATCTGTGTTCACCGTCCTTGACCCGAGTTTCAACGCCTCAAAGCAAATTGGTCAAGGAAAGGACGGGGAGCGTAGAGTGTCCCTAAAGTCTCCTCGCTCCCCCAGGGACTCCGGCCTAGAGACTCGGTTGTTAATCACGTCTCTATAACCGAGGGTGCTTTGGGCCAGGGTTCCTGGGTTTTTCTGTGCGTGGTTAGGCTGTGGGTGTGATCCCCGGGGAGTTGGTGGCCTCGGATAAAAGTTTGAGGGTGCAGAGTGCAATCCCGCTCCAGGGTCAAGTTCTGGTGGAAGGTTACATGACCCTTTGGCCTGGGACCCCATTACGCTAGCAGCTGGGCTCCTGCATAAACCGGCTGGGACCGGGAGCCACTGTGCCAGACTCGCGGGCGAAGCTCGGCTGCCAACCAGGCCCAGTCCGTGGGTGCGTTCGGTCACTGATGCGGCTACATAGACCCAGCCAGGCTCCGGGAAGGTGGGGAGGACTGGGAGCAGGGCGGGGGCGCAGGATTGACGAGGCCACGGTGGCCAATAGCCGTTCTAGGAGGGCGGGATGGGCGGGAGCCACCGTTAAAGGGGCGGTGTGGCCAGGAGGCCCGGCCTGGATCCAGAGAGAGGAATACCGGGGCGGGAGACTAGGGTACGCGGGGGAGGGAAGAGGAAAGGGAGGGGACAAATAAAATAAAATACATAAAATAAAATAATAAAAGGCTGCTTCTACGGCCTCAGCGCCCACCGAAATAAACAGAGGCTGTGGCGAACGCTGCCCACCGCAGCCGCGAGGAAGGAACTCGAGTTGGCCTCCTGGCATTTGCTTGTGCCGAGGACAACCCTCTGTCCTTGCTGGTGCGAGCACTCGCTCCCGGACTAGCACCCAGGGCGGATCGGCTGGAAGAAGGAGAACCAGAGATCACTTTTTTTATTGTTGTTATTGTTTTTCAGCCAGCCTCACCCTGCTCCCCTCCCCCTACTCGCCTTCTCCCCTCCCACAGTCCCCCTCCCCTGCTCTTCCCCCGCCTCCTTCTCCGGCCCAACTTAAAGAAAGAGGGAGCGACGCGCCCGTTTCCTTCATCTAGGGGAATTCGTGGCCGCTGCAAGTTTACTACTCTGGCGCCGCCAATGCCAAGCTCGGAGGACCAGGAGAGCTAAACCCCGCAGCCTCGGAGCCGAACAATACCCGCAGAGCGCTGGGCGGCGCGAGCAAGGCCTCAGGGGAGGGAGCGTCCACCCGAAAGCGCCGCAGACTGGGCGCTTGGCCTCCTCCTCCGGGCTGCCCAGCGCCCCCGTCGAGATCAGGTGGAGCCGCGGGTGCGCTAAGCTCTGGGGCTGGCGGAGCTCGCGGCAGTCCTCTCCTTCCCTGCCCGCCGGCGCACAGCCGCTGCCCTAGGGCACCGTGGCCCCACGGCTGTGGTGACTTCATTCGGCAGACGCCGCTGATCGCAGCTAGGCTCCCGGTTCGCCAGCAGTGCAAGGCAGCTAGCGAGTGAGTGCGTGCGTGCGCGCGCGGGGGGCGCGCAGGGGTGGGGGCCGCGGCGCAGCGCTCGCCCTCCGGCGGCCCCCCCTCTCCTCCGCTCCCCACACCTCCCTCCGCTCCCTCCTCCCGCCCGCCCTCCCCTGCCCTGCCCGCCCGCCCCCGCCGCAGCTCCTTTAATACACTTTGGTTCTCCTCCTGGCTTTGGACTCTTCTCCTCCTCCACCTCCTCCTCCCGCGCCTCCTCCGCCGCCGCCTCCTCTTCCTCTCCGCGCCTTCGTTCTGCGCCCGGCTGCCCGAGGCAGATCCAGGCGGCGGCGGCGGCGGTGGCGGCGGGCTAGCAGCGCGGCTCTCAGGACTGCAGTCTCCAGTGTTTCCAGCGCCGGCTCACGGAGCCGGGCGTTCGGAGTACGCGCCTTGCCGATAGGGAGAGGGAACCGAGGCGGCGGGGCTCACCCGGGCCGACAGGTCGGCCGGGCGCGCTGGCCATGCTTCTAGACGCGGGGCCGCAGTTCCCGGCCATCGGGGTGGGCAGCTTCGCGCGCCACCACCATCACTCCGCAGCGGCGGCGGCGGCGGCGGCCGCGGAGATGCAGGACCGCGAGCTGAGCCTGGCGGCGGCTCAGAACGGCTTCGTGGACTCGGCCGCAGCGCACATGGGCGCCTTCAAGCTCAACCCCGGGGCGCACGAACTGTCTCCTGGTCAGAGTTCGGCGTTCACGTCGCAAGGTCCGGGCGCATACCCGGGCTCGGCTGCGGCTGCCGCTGCGGCCGCGGCACTAGGGCCCCACGCCGCGCACGTTGGCTCCTATTCCGGGCCTCCCTTTAATTCCACCCGGGACTTCCTGTTCCGCAGCCGCGGCTTCGGGGACTCGGCGCCGGGAGGCGGCCAGCATGGGCTCTTCGGACCGGGCGCGGGCGGCCTGCACCACGCACACTCGGACGCGCAGGGCCACCTCCTCTTCCCGGGCCTCCCGGAGCAGCACGGGCCGCACGGCTCGCAGAACGTGCTCAACGGGCAAATGCGCCTGGGGCTGCCGGGCGAAGTTTTCGGACGCTCGGAGCAATACCGCCAAGTGGCCAGCCCGCGGACCGACCCCTATTCGGCGGCTCAGCTTCACAACCAGTACGGCCCCATGAATATGAACATGGGGATGAACATGGCAGCTGCCGCAGCCCACCACCACCACCATCACCACCACCCCGGTGCCTTTTTCCGCTACATGCGGCAGCAGTGCATCAAGCAGGAGCTCATCTGCAAGTGGATTGACCCCGAGCAGCTAAGCAATCCCAAGAAAAGCTGCAACAAAACTTTCAGCACCATGCACGAGCTGGTGACCCACGTCTCCGTGGAGCACGTCGGCGGCCCGGAGCAGAGCAACCACGTCTGTTTCTGGGAGGAGTGTCCGCGCGAGGGCAAGCCCTTCAAGGCCAAATACAAACTGGTCAACCACATCCGTGTGCACACCGGCGAGAAACCCTTTCCCTGTCCTTTTCCGGGCTGCGGGAAGGTCTTCGCGCGCTCCGAGAACCTCAAGATCCACAAAAGGACCCACACAGGTAATCGTGGGTCCGGAGTGGGAAGAGGCACCTCGAAGAGAAACTCGGAGGCCGAGTGTGTGTGTGTGTGTGTGTGTGTGTGTGTGTGTGTGTGTGTGGTGTGTTCTCGCGCGCTGGGGGCTAACCACCAGCCTGAGACCTGGGAGAGTGCAGGACAGCCAGCGGCTTGTTTTTGTTGGAGGCTAGTAGAGTATTATTATTTGGCTGGGATTTTTCCACGTGCGGAAACTGAACTTTAAATCATCAGTGTAGTACCAAATATGCTTGGAGTGAAGCGACCTCCCTCCCACCCCCCAAGTCCTGGTGAATAATTTCCATTATAAATAGAGCGCACAAATAGAACAGTTTTGCTGTAACTAGATGTCCGGGAAGCAAGCCTTACAAGGTTTTGTCAGCTTGCCTGAATGAGCTTTTCCGCCCTGAGTAGATTATCTGTTTTTTAAAGGCTTGTGTGTTTTTCCCATTTCTTTTACTCAGGCTCCAAACGCCCTTCTCGGGACTGTTTCCCATTAAACGAATCTGGTGTGAGCCGAAGCTGTAAAGCGGTTCTCATTTAAAAAGTGTTTTTAAAGCCCATCTCGGGGTGGGTCGCAGGGGACTGACGGTGGTTTGTCAGCAGTTTGTGAAATTCTCTAATGGGCACCAGAGGGTTTGCGATTCCCAACTTCGACCCTGCCCGGGCCAGCAAGAGCCCCAGGCAGTACGGCCCCGCAGGGCGATCGCGTAAGAAGAGGCGCAAAAGAACTCGCCTCCCGCCTCATAGATTATTCATCTAGGACCGGGTCTCAGCCAAAATCGCAGAAGACTATTTCCTAAAAAGAAAGCCAAATGTTTTAGCAACTTCCCTCGTCAATATTTACTCCAAAGTGGGGATGAGCCAGCGGCCTATTGTTCTCTTTTGGGAAGGGAGGGAGTCGAGGTGCGAGACAGCTTTTAACAAGGTTTAAAATTTGAGAAATTTATTTGCATGAAATGCCCTGTGTCTGAGCGGTTGTCTTTAAAAAACAGTTTAGGTGCTAATGGAATTTAACGTTAACTGGTCCCCTTTCCAAGTGGAACGACGTTTGAGTTCTCACACCTCTAAATGACTCCAAGCATTTGGAATCCTGGCAACAGGATGCAGGAACCGCCAGAAAATTAAACATGGAGATTTTGAAAGGTTTTCCTTTCCTGACTCCAACCCCCAACCCCTCAACTTGTGCTGAAAGCTATTATCATTAAAAGGCTACCTTATCACTAATGTTTAAACCCCCTCCCCATTAAAAAAAGCGTTTATACTAGGGATATGGTTAACTCAATTTGCAGAATTTTGGATGAAAAATACTGGCTCAATCTCTCTGCATAGCCCAGTCTCCAAACGACTCACAGCATCTCCAAATGTGATTGCCTACTGGCCCCAAAAGAGAAAGCGACAGCAGCCCAGCCGCCTGTGTGGTTTTGATAATGCCCCAAATATTTTGTCAAAATAACAGCTTCTCGATGGCTAGACCAACTTGTTAGGGGGCTGGGGATCCAAAAAAGCTCCGTGGAAAGGCGAACAGGGCCAGGAGCGCCCCGAAATTAGTGGAGGGAATTTGTGAAGGGAAGTAAATTGCGAAATAAAATGATAGGATCTGCTAGTTGGTTGCTTCTCAAGGAGACTCGCTCCTCTGCCCTTTACTCTGTAGCCTGGCAGACTTAGTGAGGACTTTGGGGCTCCTGGGGGTCCATAAGCAAGCGCCCTGTTTGCTGTCCACAGGGGAGAAACCTTTCCAGTGTGAGTTCGAGGGCTGTGACCGGCGCTTCGCCAACAGCAGCGACAGAAAGAAGCACATGCACGTCCACACCTCAGATAAACCCTATCTCTGCAAGATGTGTGACAAGTCCTACACGCACCCTAGCTCGTTGCGGAAGCACATGAAGGTACCACCGCGGTAGCCGGGAGGGCTAGGCCGACCTCGAGCACCCTGCTCCCGGCAGGCCTGGGAGGGTCCCCAGGGGCCGAGGGACCACTCCCGGGATGCTCCCGGCTCGGGGACCCGGCCTCACAGCAGCTGCACTCACACCCAGTCCCCTCTGGTCCCCGCTCCCGGCTTTTGTCTTGCAGGTCCATGAGTCCTCCCCTCAGGGCTCCGAGTCCTCCCCGGCCGCCAGCTCCGGCTACGAGTCGTCCACGCCCCCGGGGTTGGTGTCCCCCAGCGCAGAGCCGCAAAGCAGCTCCAACCTGTCCCCGGCAGCGGCGGCGGCGGCGGCGGCGGCAGCAGCTGCGGCGGCGGCAGCCGCGGTGTCCGCTGTGCACCGAGGCGCGGGCTCGGGCAGCGGCGGCTCCGGAGGTGGCTCCGCCACAGGCAGCGGCGGGGGCGGCGGGGCGGGCGGCGGCGGGGGCGGCGGCAGCTCTGGAGGGGGCAGCGGGACAGCCGGAGGCCATAGCGGCCTCTCCTCCAACTTCAATGAATGGTACGTGTGAGGGGCCAGGCCTTTCTCCCGTTCCCTGTTTTTCTCCTCCACCACGGCCCTCCCAAAACCCACCGAGGGCACCTTAGGATCGAGTTGTTAAAAATCGTGAATCTGATTTTTATGGTGATGAAAAAAGATTTTACCAGCAGAAGGATTTTTAAAACTTTTTTTTAAAAGAAAAACAATCTAGGCATGAAAAGCAAAATCTCTCTGTGTGTCTCCGAAGCTGAAAACATAAAACAAACAAAAAAAAATTTAGGAAAATAAACTCCACAAAAATATCGAGCCAAACTTCCCTAGCAACCCCCAGCCCAGTCTCCCAAACTGTACATAGCCATAGCCGACTCCTTCCTTTTCCACGGTGATTTTAATGGCTTATTGTTGGATAGAAGTTTGTCCATTTGTAAACTCCGGATTGCGTTCCTTCTCACCTTTTCTCTCATCCCCTTCCCCCGAGTGATGGGCTTTTTCTTTTTTCCTTTTAGTTTACCCGATTTCTTTTTTAAGTAATGTGGAAGGAAATGGTTTATTTTGTATTGTGGTATTAAATATTGTGTTCCTTTTTTTTTTTAATGAGGCAACTTGATTGTAAACTTCATGCAACTATAGACTGGAAAAAAAAATGAACCGTGCCAAAGTCTCCCTTCTGTTTTTCCAACACACCAACTCAGCACACATCACCGCCACCACCAACGCTTGTGAATGTATTTTTCTGTTAGCTGGGTTTACATGTGATGTTTCAGTGCTTTTGCGAGTTCGATTTGTTAGTTGTTGTATGAAAGATTGGGGTGGGGTGGGGTGGGAGTAAACGTTGTCTCCTTAGCTCTTTTCCGTAATAACACCCTTCTGTAAATATCCGTTGCCATATTTATCCATTTGTAATTAAATTATGGTATTAACTTGCTACAGAGGAAACAATATTTATAAAGAATGTTTCTTAACTATAAATATGTACAATTGTGGGCATAAACTGTTTCAGATTTTTTTTTATTTGAAGGTTTAAGTGGTCTGATCATTTCTTGTGATGTTTGAGAGTAATGCATACAGAAATATAATAA